TGACAATTGTGGTGAAGAGGCTGTTGATGATAGTGTGAAAGTCAACAATGAAAAGGTTGTCAAAAGTAGTGTTAGGGTAGACATTACAGAAACAGTTGTCAATCACATACCTGTGTTGGATTATACGTTGCACAATCTTATCAGTGGTCATTGCACTTCCACTGTTAATCCGTTTGAAAATTCCTCTGTCCTTTGGTTCCTGAGAAACAATGCAAAAAATGAAGTTGAGTATATCAGATTGTATGACACAGTGATAATTTTGCATATGGTTCATTTGTTGTGTGATACCTTTCAAGATATGGGATGGTAAACATTAATACTTTGCAGATGTTCAAATAGTATGTACATTTGTAAGCTACACTGGTCATTTAAGCCTTTGAGTGTCTAAGTAAAATGTTGTTTATGTGTTCCAAAATTTTGATCAAGACTTATGTAACTAAAAAGAAATCACGTTTATCTCAACAAAAATTATCCTACGAAAGCAAAATGTTGCACCAACATTTTGGTGGGAAAAAATATGGGCTTCAAAGCGGTAACGTTTATATGAGAATGCAATTAAATGAAGGTACTGGTTGTAAAAAATTCACAGCTGCAGTATTTTGTGATTTTCCTTGACTTTGAGGGGGGGGTGAGTTAAATTTATTCAAACAATAACAAATCCCGCACAATGCGATATTGGATGAGGAGAAATCTATGGCATAATAATATGTAATATCATATTTATACTCTTATGGAGAATTTATAATTTCTGTTATAAATAACCTTCAAAAGTACTGTAAAATACTTTATTTTTGCTAGAATTAATTTTCACTGAAAAGAATCTTTGGGTGTTTTTTATGGAATTTATTTTCACTGATTTTTGACGAGTTGAATGTAAAATATAGCAATAAAGGTATATTCGCTGGATTTTATTTTCACTGAATCATTCCTTCAGCGAAAATAGCAAAAAATTAATTCCAGGCAAAAATAATTTAAAAGTATTTTACAATAAACAAATTTAGTTAAATTTGGGG